TTTCTCAATAAGTTTTTGCAGTTGTTTCTTCAATTCTTCTAGTTCCTTATGAGACATCTAGTGAATGAGTTCTTTGGGAATATTACTTTTGGGATGGTGTGCTTGATAGCATGCTTAATGATTCTCGTCGGTTCAGTCTGCAAGTCCTTAAACTCGGTTAGAAGTTTTTTAATTGAAGGAGGATAGAGTGAGGAACATTCATCTACTCGTTTAACGAGTACCATCATCACATCCTGATCCAACTTCTTCTTTGAGACCATACTTATGAAAGCTAGGTAACACGTACAACAGAAAGACATGTGTCAGATGCAGACTTATGATACAATTTTATTTTTTTGAACTAGGACTTTTCGTCCTTTAGTTTTACAATCTTTTCCTTAAACTTGATATTTGGGTTGGCTTCCTCATGCCAATCCATTTCCAGAATCATGTCGAAGGGCAAGTTCTTTTTAACTAAGAAAGACACTTCATGCAAGATTCGTTTACCTTCCTTAGTACGGAAATAACATCTTACACGATCAACAAACTGAGAGACAGTGATCGTGCTCTTGTCAGCCAATATAGACGTGATAGGTCTAGGTAAGTCCCTGTCTCTTATACACATCTAGATGTGTATAAGAGACAGATATAGACGTGATAGGTATAGGTAAGTCCTTTACCTTCATTCCCATATGCAACTTCTATATTGCCTTCTTTGAGATGTAGGACCTGTCTCTTATACACATCTAGATGTGTATAAGAGACAGGTGTCAGTAAGTCCTTTACCTTCATTCCCATATGCAACTTCTATATTGCCTTCTTTGAGATGTAGGACCATGTCGATCCTGGGTCTAACAAGGCCCTTAGACGACAATCATAAGTTCACCCTTAGACTTTGCTTTCTTAGCCCCCGAACTTCTTAACGCAATAAGTTCAGATCCAAGTTCGTCAAGGGAATCGTCCAGAGAGACAGAACATAAGACAGTGTCACGGTGTTTCGAACGACGAGCCGAAGAAGAGCCATCTTCAACCATGCGAGTTGAGGGGTTGAAAGGGGTTATCGGCGCCTTACCCTCAACTAAATCCTTCAACTCAATAGGAGAAGATGCTACTCCTACTGGCTGCTCCCTTTTGGGTTCCGGATGAATGAGCACGATGCAATGATATGCCCTGCAATGCCACACTTAAGACATTGCCTATTGTTCATCCTTTCCTGCCATTCTTCCTTGGTGAGGTTTATCTTCTCCTAGGGCCTTCCCGCTGCAATACTGGGATGCTCTATGAAGGAGCATGGCCTCTTCTTCTTTCCAAATCCTCCTGAATTGATGCCACTCTTGTTGGCCACCATGGCAGTGACATCACCCTTTCCCGACTCACTGCCACCGCTTACTCCACCCTCGGCCTCATCGAGAGGTATCTTTTCAATTGTGTGAGGATGTGGTCCTGTCGCTTTAGCCGCCACAGGACCCCTTTCATTTCCATACCCACCACTTGGTCCACTGTGCACAACGGACGCCTAGGTACCCTTTACCTATGCGGTCATTTGCTCCCTTTGGAGTGCGAGGTCACGGAACTGCCTATAGTTGTACTTACCGGATTTTGCCTCAGAGACAAGATGTCCACGAATGGGTTCGGGCAATGCACGTGAGAAGATGTAGTTGTACTTACCGGATTTTGCCTCAGCGACAAGATGTCCACGAATGGGTGAGGGCAGTGCACGTGAGAAGATGTAGAGTACCTGGTTGTCTTTGAGATTCAGTCCGGTTACCTGCAACAAATAGTCCACCTCACTAGACAGAGCATGGACAGTTGTCCAACGTTTCTGGCCAATGGTAGTGAGTTCGTCAAATGCCTTATCGACAATCGTTTTGTTGAGGAATCTCTCCTTGATAGAGGCTAGCTTGGACAATGTATACAAGGAGTTGCAAAAAGAGTTTGAAAATACACTTCGGGCAAAAAACAGTTTCAAATTCTAGTTTGGACAATGTATACAGGCTAGCTTTCCGGTTAGGTGGGGCTGCGTGGGGGTGCTTGTTGTGCTTGGGGGAATGCCCAAAGTGTAATTCCCAGCTGTTTTTTTTACTGTTCTGAAGTTACCCAGGAGTTGGGAAAAGAGTTTGAAAATACACTTCTGGCAAGTTTGGACAATGTATACAGGCTAGCTTTCCGGTCAGGTGGGGTTGCGTGGGGGTGCGCGTTGTGTTTGGGGGAATGCCCAAAGTGTAATTTCAAACTGTTTTTTTTTTACAATTTATAATGTATTCGAACTTCGCAAAAGTCTTGAGCAGCACGTACCGATCGACGGAGATGATCCTCAAGCTCTGGTGTGCTTGCATACTTGAAATATAGTTTCTGCTTTTTTTTGTCGATGATCAGACTTAATCTACGACGTAAATCAGGATGGTTGGAGAAATAGACACCAAAGTTGTGACCAAACATATTCAATATATTCCTGTTCCGACCGCACCAGCGCCCGGAAATATTTAGACTACTGTCTTCACCCGAATAGAACGCTTGGTCATTATCGCCGCATCTGGGCTGAAGGTTGTGCCAAATACAGCTGCAATGATCTTGCGCTCTAGTCCGGTGAAGAAAATAGTATGGCGACTAAACCGATGGTTGTTTTTTGCACGGTGTTTTCTCCAGCACTTAATGTAACTACTGGTTCGATCGTGCGCGCCGAGAACTGATTGTATACTCGTAGTGAAGAACTCGCTGCGAAGACTCAAGCTCGTCATGAAAGGGGATCACTGGGAATAGCCAGCCCTTGGTTGAACCCCGACCGTGTCTCTGATACGCAGCTGAACGGAATACTCGTGAACGTGAGATGCTGGTGGGATAATTGCCCGGACGTGTTCGGCAAGGCCGATCCGCTAGAGGGGTTGAAGCTTGAACTGCAGTAGCTTACGGATGTGGTTTTCGGGCTGGCGGTAAGGCCATCTGTAGTTATCAAAGTGCGCGACCGAACTTCACGCTAAGGGCATATGGCTTACCTTCAACTGGCAACAGTAGAGCATACAAAGAAGCATGCCATAAAAGCACATTCATAGAGGCTCGAAGAGCAGACGAAGTGTCTGAAGTGTCTGCACTTCGTGTCCGACATGTCTTGCTGCACTTCATGCCCGGAGCTGTGATATGTGAAACACAAAAAGTCTAATGAACTGAGTTTCTCAGTGTCTATTTTTTATGTTCAAACGAATGACTGAAGGAATGAATGAATGTGAACTTGGTGTATGGGGACATTCTATTGAAAAATGAGTGAATGTGAATGGGGACATTCGATTGAAAATAACGTGCAAGACCTTGTGTTCAATGCTTTTTTTTTTTTTCTTTTCTTTTGGTAACCCGAGCGAGTGTCCGTCTGGCAAGTTCCACATTCCTAAGATAACGACTAAATACATCGCATTTCATTTCTGCAAGGAATGACTCCATTAATTGCTTTTCTAGCTGAGAATCACTGAGTGCTACGCTTCCCTTTTCGCCTGGATAGAATTCTGTAGGGTAATTGGGCCTGCATTTTGGCCACCAACTTTCGGTCTACATGCAGCGATAACGACCGCACGTTTTATTCCGGGGTTGGACGGTACCCCCGACACAATATGCGAGGTTTGAGCTGCTTCCGATCTTCTTCCTGCATGAACGTGTGGCCGCAACTCTTAGCGTTAGTATCTGTCCGTCTAGCTATGGCGCCGGCGCAATGACAAACATCCATCCATCTTCGAAATGGCGACTACGACCTTTAGATATTGTCATTGAGCTACCAGCCCCATGTAACTCAGAAATATTGTTTCATTCACCTGATGGATTCAAACTTGGGTCTGTATTTCGACAGTTCTTGGGTGTACCAACTGAGCCACCTTCTTCCCCCGAATACAACGTACGGTCATTATAGCTGTATCTAGACTGAAAGATGCCTCAAATACAGCTATAATGACTGTATGTTGTATTCGGGGGAAGAAGGTAGGCTCATCTGTTGACAAACGTAAGACACAGAGAATTCAATTCGATGGAATTGACGATTCATGAGCCGGACCACATTTTCCCTCGACTGAACTCGAACGAACTAATGATATCTATTCACTCCCTCTGGTCATCGGAATCGTCGCGCAACCCTCTTTCCCTCCTTCAGCATTGTGAGTCCTGCTAGAATTCTAGCGTTGGCCATGTGTTTGAAGTTCGAACCCACCTTCAGCATTTCTAGCAGCCGGGCCGCCAATGTCATCATTTAAACTGTCAAGCTAAGGGTACCAGCCGGGCCGCCGGGGGCACCCTGCTTTCCCGGGCAGCCCGGGCGTGCAAGGACCAGGGAAGGGCCCAGCAAAAAAAAAAAGGGGAAAAAAAAGGGGAAAAAAAAGTTAAAAAAACTATGTAGTATGTATGTATGCTATGTAGAAAAATAAACTGAACAAGTTTTGCCTCAGGTTCACATCGAAATTATTCGCCAAATTAAAAATAAAATAAAAACTGTCAAGCTAAGGGTACCAGCTGGGCCGCCCGGGTCACCCTGTTTTCCCTGGCAGCCCGAGTGTGCAAGGACCAGGGAAGGACCCAGCAAAAAAAAAACCAAAAAAAAACTACGTAGTATGTATGTACTATGTATGCGATGCAGAAAAATAAACTGAACAAGTTTTGCCTCAGGTCCACATCGAAATTATTCACGAAATAAAAAATAAAATAAAAACATTTTAAAAACTTTTTTTTTTTTTTTTGGCACAGCCGGTCAAATGGTTCCGGGCCACTCTGGTAGCCTAGCTTTTGAGTCCTTTTTTGAAGGAGAAAAAAACACCCTCGGCTGCAGCGTCCTGGAAAGACAGGGATAAGAGCGCATGTCTGACGGGGGGCGTCTTCACGTGCTGGGAACCTGACCCAGTGTCCCTGTTACAACCAATGTGGTACAACATGTCCCGCAATCCGAATGCAGGTCACCGTTTCAAGTCTTTATAGTCTTTATGGTACAGGAAGGGCTTGTGAATGTGTGTCATGGTTTTTGTCATCTTCGCGTTGCTGTGTTGTGTATATAGAGTGTTTGGCGAACGAGCAGCGGAAATGCCGCTTGTGGCGACAAGGTTCCAATTTCGGAGGCAAGGCATGTGCAGAAGACTCCTGAATGCTCTGGAGAATGTGAGTGCTTCACTTCCTTGCGGACTTCTTCTTGCTGGTGGTGTACGGACATGCATACTCACACTCTGACTTCTCCTGGATGCACGCACAGCAGCCATCCCCCTTGTCGTCTGCCTCTCCAAACCGTTCTCCCTTTTCTCTTCCCCTGTTCATATTGTCCTCTTCCTCCCCGAACCCCCCCTCCTTTCCGACCTCTTTACCTCTTCATGAGTACACTCTTCTCTGGTCCTTCTAGGACGTCATCATTCCCCTCTAGCTCATCGTTTAGACAAAGATGCATGTTCATGGAAAACGATTCCTTCTCCATCCTCTCTGTTTCCTCTCGTCCGTTCTTCTCCTCGTTGTCCTCATTTCCCACTCGTGCATGTGCATGTGTGTGTGTGTGTGTGTGTGTGTGTGTGTGTGTGTGTGTGTGTGTGTGTGTGTGTGTGGACTGGTCGCAAGTGATGGCCTGCACATACCTTTTTCGTGACTGACGTGTGTGTGTGTGTGTGTGTGGACTGGTCGCAAGTGATGGCCTGCACATACCTTTTTCGTGACTGACGTGCGTGTGTGTGTGTGTGTGTGTGTGTGTGTGTGTGTGGACTGCTCACAAGTGATGTCCTGCACAGACCTTTCATGACTGCCAGGTTGTGACGTACTGGTGGGAACGTGGTTCCCCGTTTCCTGTTTTCGTTTCACTTGCATTTATATGGCGGTCGAGACCTTGATACCACCATTCTCTTGTTTCAGATCATGTGTTGCTGCTCGACAAGTCATAGAAGCCATGATCTCTGTAGCAGTAAGATACCTGAGTTATTGAGTATCCCCTTTTGTGTCTTGTTACGAGACGGTCCATTGACCCGTCCCACTGCGTCGATGAGGCGGTGTGCAACAAGACACACAAGGAAAAGGCGTTGAGCTTCTTGCGTTTGTGACAAAGAGAAGTCAGTCCAGACTTGTAACAGATCATGAGCTCAACTCCTGCCGGATCCTTTGAATAATGTTGAGCTACCCCTTCCCCTTTTCGAAATAGGAAGGACACCTGTATTCAGGTCTCCTTTGTAGTTTGATGCCGTCTTTCCTTTCTTCTGACTGATATTGGCTGGTTAACCATGTTCGCAATGTCTGCAGCTGCTAGCCAATCTGCAAGTGAAGAAGCTTGTTCTTCCCGCGGTACCAGATGTGCAGGATACGTGGCGGGAATCCTTCGGGTTCCAGAGCATAGCGGACAGGGACAAACGCGAGCTGGCCGAGCTTGGCATTATGGTGTTCCCTGGGACCTCAACCTTGGAAAAACCAATTATCAGTACGCCGCTTGGTAATGATCACATCGTCTCTATACTACCAGATACCCCGTGTGCGCCTACAATGTCCAGGGACAGTGACACGGGTAAGTCTCTATATCACCAGATACCCCGTGTGGCTCCGTTTTGTGTGTGTGTGTGTGTGTGTGTGTGTGCGTGTGTGTGTGTGTGTGTTTCCCCCTTCCATTTCTCTGCTTCCGTGTTCTCTGGCGGATTAGTCCCTTCGTTTCTTTTTTCCCTTCCCTTTTTTTTTTTTTTTTTTTCTCAGTTCTGGGTCCGCATTCGGCCCGAACGGCCGAACGCATCCCCAAGGGGTCCCATACGTTCGGGCGTTCGGGTTCGGGCGTTCGGCCTGTCCCGAACGCCGGTTACCCTGTATATATATATATATATATAGCCCCTCGTTTGTTGTCCTCTTCTCCCTCTCTGCCTACGGCTTACCGGGCTGTTCTATTTGACGATATATACTACGACTTCGCTAGCTTCCTGCTATGGTTTTNTCGACTTATGCGTGTCATCCGTGAAAGCGCAGGGGCCATGCTAATCTTCTCTGCATCGTTCCAATTTTAACGTAGGTCGCGAAGGACTCTCTGGAGATCATTCCTGTAGTCCTGCAATAGCGTTTCTGCTTGCCCCTCTTGAAGTTCAACCAGTCATCACTATTGCTTTCTTTCTTGGAATATGTTCACGACTGCTAGCCTCCACTGATGCCCGTCCCATGACCTCATGTCGTCATCGTTTCCTTGCTGAATCCCTGGCCATGCTGAGTTGCATCATCCTTCGACTATCGGCTTCTCTATTGCAATCACTCACCTTCACCCATCGCCCATCTCATCCACATCTCTGTCATTTGGATCTCCTTCGCACTCCACTTTTTCTCCCCATCCCTACTGAGGGACGTATCTTTCCCCTACCTCCGTGTGTGCAAGAGAGAGAGAGAGAGAGAGAGAGAGAGAGAGAGAGAGGCAAACCCCCAATATTATTCGTGCTATTCTATCCATCTGACTGGAGGAGGGTTCGGACTAATGATGTTCATCAACAATTACTTGTGGGTACCATTCACTCAACCCTCTTTCTCCTTACCTCACTTTTGTTTCTCCTGGAAAACTCCTTGAGTTTGTCGACGTCTTCTTGTCACAGTGTTCCCAACACCTGCCCTCCTCTTCCGTGTGTGTGTATGTTCTTGTGTGTGTGTGTGTGTGTGTGTGTGTGTGTGTGTGTGTGTGTGTGTTCATGTGTGTTCAACCACTGGCTACCACCGGCTCTTATTGCTGTAGAATCCTGTCGTAATCAACCGTAAAGGTGTCTGGTGGATGAAAAACCATGTGCCTGTTTCTTGTCAGTTCTGCTTGCCAGTGACGAGCAACCGGACTGCCGCGACCCAGAATAGAAGCGGCATCTGTTTTCAAAAGTAAAATAACATAAAATGAAAAAAGAGCCCAAGTGCCTCTTGTTGTTCAGCACCATGTGTGAATGAATGACTCTCTCCCCCTCTCATGTTGCGAGAAATGACTGCCGGCCCCTGACAGACCCCCCTCTGGATTTTTGTGTGCTTCCATCGCTGTGGGCTGTGCAGAGGCCTTGGCCCTTCCAGCTGCACATACAAGTAGGACACCCTTGTTACAAGGGGGTGAAACTGGGAAAGGTGATCAGAGGAATCGTCCCTGCGATGGGAGCACCCGCATGCAATGGCGGAAACATCTGCTTGATGGGATTCATTTCTTGGGGCCTTTGACTCGAGCTCTAGAAAGCATGTCCGTTCCCGTGACTCCTGAGAAGGATGGCGCAATGGGTGGTCAACCTAATAGGCAAGGAACTTGTACAATGGTCTCGGGTGCCGCTGTAGATAATTATGCAACAACCCAAATGGATAGCCTATTCTTGCCTGACAAACACAACAGTTCAGACCCCACCGGCTTTTGTGCAATGGACTATTTCCGGTTTGATCCCTCCTCCACAACTTACCTGTCACTGGGCAAGCAAAGGCCAGAAATATCACCTTACCACTCTGCCGATACGGCCAGGAACCAAAGAGTGGGGATGGTTGTCAGTGGCCCACAGACTGAAAGACGGCTGGAACTGACACCTTGGAGTTCCGCAGGTTTGTCCAGTGGCTCCACAAGACCCAACAGCTGCACCTGGCCTGACGGCTCGGAGGGTATCAGTCCATGGCGAGACGCAAGCGGTCTGTGCAAGGTGCGGGGCAGTCTCAAGAAAGCAGCCCGCAAGAGCAGGGGCATGGCGCGACCCCAAACTAGCCCTGAACTTATCGATTGCTTCGACTCTCTCGCCGTCATCGAGTCCCGGACCGGCGTTTCGCCTGCAGCAGGAGATGCGTTTCCAAGCAGTCGCCATCGATGCGCTGATGTGCAACCCAACAGGGCGCATATCGTCGGGAACGGGACCATCTGGGGCTTTGAGGCGGGGGGCATGGCCTTTGGGGCGCCTGTGGGTACCTGGCAACCCAGTTTACCGGGTAGATCTGGGACCGATGACAGGTCACGGAACCAGGCGGCTCCATGTTCATGGCACACAAATGCTGCAGGTGCTGGTGGTCATATGTTATCGGAGGACAAGGGCGGAAGAGAGGACCACCTGCGGCAGATTCCTGCCCCTAGCTTCCAGAACGACAGTGTCAGAAATGTCAGCTGCGAACGAACTCCTGAGAATGTGAGCCGAGCTACCGGCAAGCTTCCAGTTTCCGCAACGGCGGGCACTGTGGATGGTGTGGACAGAGCCACATGCGCGGACCAGAAGCCGAGTGTGAGACCGGGCGGGGTCAGTCCATTTGCTTCTCCCATACGCAAGCTTTATAACGAGGTCACCGATGTGGTATTCGGTGGACTAGTGCCTTTTGGTTCGGGAAACGTCTCTCCTGGTATTTCCGTTCCTCCGGCCAACACGGGTGAAGTGAATGCAAGCATGGGCTCGGTACCGCCAAGCAACAGTGTGTGCAGAGATGGACTGAGTAACGGGCCCGTAGCGACGGGTGCTGGACGGGGTAATGAGCGGACCGTGGGTCTTGGGAGTGCAAATGGTGATAAGGTAGGAAGGAAACCGGGGTCAGGAATGGGGAAGAGAAAGAAAGGCGCTCAGAAGGCAAAGGACGGGAACACGGGGCAGCAAAATGGCGATCTGGAGATGGAGAATGATGCTGCATGTGGTAGTGCTGCAGACAGAACGACATCGTCGAAGGCAGAGCCACGGGGGCCAGGTGATGCGAACGAATGCAGTGCTGCCGCGCCGAAGAAACGGAGGCGGCGAGGCCGTAACAATGCCAGCAAGGACCCTGCAGATGACACTGGAGCTATGTTGCCTGCAGACCAAGCTGGAGAAAAGAGGAAGAGGGGTCGAAAGCCTCGTGAGAGGGAGGAGAATGGGGTTGTCAGGTACGGAGGGAAACACCAAGTGTATGTCCAATCATCTGCAAATGACAAAACTTACTGGAATCGAATTGAGATAACTTCTTCTTTTTTTTCTCTCTTTTTCTTTTTAAAGAGAACTTTCAAAAGAGGGAATGAACAGGAAAAGTAGAACGCATACTCTTGGGGAAAGAAGAAAATCAACATTGTTATTGTTAAATGCTTTTTGTAAGGTCGTAGCAATTCCGTGGTACTGTGTATTAGTCTGCGTGTATGTTTGGATGTACTTGACTTTGGGATGGAGGCCCTACCTTGAACCCATCTACACCCTCCTCCCCCACGTTCCCTGCTCCTCTTCACCTCCCCCCCCCCTCCCCCCTCTTCCTCAACGAAAGAGAGAATCGGAAAGAGAACGGATTGGAGAGAAAGATGTGTGCATGCTTCCATGAGGAGCACAAAATCAAGATCTTGGACTTGATCCATGTATGGGGTCAATTGGCGGTCCCGTGAGGAGAGGGGTACTGCTGTGTCTGCAAGCTATTTGCATGTTGGCTGTGGAGATGCCCATTTGTTTTTGCTCTAGGCACTTCCTTGCTGGGATGGTCACGAAGAGCATATGTATGTACACCCCCACCAAGGTTGTTGCCGAAGGGATCACAGGTCTTGTTTTCTTATTCTGGTCATCATCTGATTGTATCTGGATTCGAACATGGATCTGTATTTCAGCAGTTTGTGGGTGTACCGACTGAGCTAGGCTCATGATGAGTCTCAATTGTGAAGTTTTGGATGGCTACCGTCTTTCCCTGAACACTGCGCACCCTCACTATGACTCTTATCGGGCTGGAAAGATATCTAGCTTGTATACATTCATAAGCAGGGTGCATCATGGTAGTGATTGGTAGGCGGTCCTGTTCCATTTATCCCCCCGTATGGCTGGCTGAGCCCTGCAGTGCAACTCACTTGTTAATTCTCATCATGCTGACCTATATCTGACTTGCTTCTGTGGTTCAGGAGACGTCCAGCGAAGGGTGCCGACGGTGAAGGGGGGGCGAAACAGGGCTTTTTGACGCCTGCGCATTTAGTTAACCGAAAGCGGACAAGCTCAGATGCAGAAGATGAAGATGCGAAGGATGGAGAGCATGTGGTAGTTTGCACAACGCGATCGCATCGGCAGGTAAAATACTAAATACTCTTTTTTTTTTTTTTTTTTTTTTTTGGGGGGGGGGGGGGTGTTCACAAAATATCGAAGTCGAAGAAACTAAAGATCGAGAAGTTTTGATATGCAGCAAATCCCACATAACTCAGCTACACTGCCCTTGGCATCCCGCCCCCCGGCCCCCCTCTTTCCCCTTACTCGTCTGCGTGATCTGCTTCGAGTGGAGTTTGAATTCAGGTCTGGTCTGTATTTAGACAGTTCAGGGGTGTACCTACTGAGCTAGGCCAGTTGGCGCCCTTGGCACAATTATTTGTAGGGTTGCTTGCCTTCCGGGGCACTTTCTTTGCCGCACATGCGTTGCGTGACGGATGTGATTGTGCTTTCCATGATCAATGTGTGTGTGCTGTTTGTGAAAATGTGGGCGTCAACGCTCAAGCTCCCCTCTTGTTTGCCAACGAATGTGCAGGTCAAGTATTCAAAACGTTTTTTGGATGGCATCAAGATCCTGACGACACGGTCGCCTTCGCCCACTACGTCGACGGACAATTGTAGAGGTGCGGAGGAATCAGTTGCACAAGGCGAGAGGCTGGGCGACGCGACTTCTGCGGAGCAAGGGGTGGATACGAGTGCCAAAGTCACAGAGCCTTGGGAGGTAGAAAAGCCAGCGAAGAAGGAAGTGTGTGTACCGGTTATTCCCACTGCAGGCGGAGGCAGTCAGCCCGTGTTTAGAGGGCTGGAGGGGGCAGCAGAGGCGGTGATGGTGGTCCAGAAGGCCACCGTTGACGCGGTGCCATTGCCCGACACGGCAGCGGACAAGCAGTCGGCAATGGAGAAGGCAGCAGCATTGCAGGAGGAGGGGACAGTGCAGAACGCGATGGCAGTGCGGGAGGAAACTGTGTGGCAGCAGGAGATGACACCGCAGAAAGATCTGGCATACCAAGGGCACTTGCGAGAGGAAGGTAGGCTGGCAGCGGAGGCGGAGTTGGCCCTGGAGTTGGCCACGGATAAGCATGTTGGTGTGGAGGAGAGGTTGGGAGGAGAAAAGGAGGTGGCGGGCAAGGTGGCCGAACAGGAGGCAGGGGCACAGAGGGCAGTGGCGGTGCCCGATGACGGTACGCATATCGGAGAGGCAGTGGCACCTGAAGGAATGGAGCTGGGACAGGTTCGCGTTTTGGAGAACGCACCCCCTGGGCATGACGAGGTGATTGCTGACAAGCCAGTTGTATTGAGTTTACCGCATGTAGCTTCGTCGAAGGGGGAAGGTGTTGAAGGCGGAGGTCGCGGCAAAGGTGCAAAAACACCGAAGCGCCGGGAGAAAGCTGGTCGAGGTAGGAAAGGAAAGATGGAGGACAACGCGATACAACCTTTGACGGTCGAACTTGGCGAAGGACGAGGGGGTCTGATAGTAAACCTCGAGGGGTTCAACAAAGGAGGGTGGATTATGGACATATCAAATGGGAGTATGGACGAGAGGGGTTTGGTGGGGAACATGCCTCGCAGGCGTGGAAGGCCGCCCAAAATGGGTGGCATTGGTCGAGGTAATGGACCTAATCCTGGGAGAGGGGCGTGCTTTAGTGATTTACTGGGAGGTGGAGGGGGGAGGGGTTCTGGGAGAGGTAGGGGTCGTGGGCGGAGGAAAGCGCAATTGAATACTTCTCCCACGGGCAACCGGAACGACGATATTATAAGTGGGCTTTTAGGGGATGGACCTGGCAGGCTTGAAGGCGCTGGAGAAGAAGATGTCCTGCGTTGGATGGGCGTGAGAGGTACGGACATTGATGACGTGGCAAAGGATGCGACCACTGACGGTGCAATGGTGGCTATGGCTGCGATTGGGCCAGTCAACACAATGGCAGGTGTTGGCTTCAGTATGGACGACCTTCTTGCCGAAGATGGAGACGTGTACCCACGAATCACAGAAGAGGGCATAGGGTCGGAATGGGCCGTCGATGACATCGTCGCTCTTGTTGGCGACGACGCACAGACTACTAGATCGACCACAGAACGAGGAGTGAACAGTGCCAGGACAGGGGGAAACCATCCGACCGGCAAATTTGGTGTTGATTTGGAGCCAAGATCACTGTTTGGGGGTGGCTGTGGGAAGCACTCGTTAGCTGAGATGTCACAAGTCCACGACGGACTTGGCGTCTCGATGCTTCCAAGGCTTGTAGATGGTTGCAGCCACTTCGACCGGGGAGACGGGGTTCCCTACGGAGTCGATTTGTTCCGGGGCAACCGAGGCATGGACACGTTACCCGACCCCCTCATGACGGACGTAGATGTATTTATGAGAGAAGGTATGAATGCACGAGCTCACGACGGTTCGGGTTGGCAGCGCGAAGAAGGGGTTATTGATGAGGCGGGTGGAGGACGATGCAATCAAGTTGATGTAGATGCAGTTGACGGCGGTGGGAGAGGAGATGATTGTTGTGGAGCTTCTCTGGGAGGAGGGGTGAACGGTGACATGGAAAGACGTGTAAATGGTTGCAAGTTCCTTCATCCGCCGATGGGTAAGCTGGAGCAGCAGACGAGACCGCTGGTACGCGACTCATCGCAGCAGAAGATTGCTGTTGCCTCTGTAGAGGTAGTGAGGTGATCTTCACTTTCCTTTGAGATAGCCTACCTTGTCATCATCTGTAAAAGTAATCTCAGGGCATACTCACACCAGGGCTATCAGGAATGCATCTGATTGCATTTTATGGTCCGATTCAGTGGCGATAGCCCTGCGTATGAGTCTCGCCTTCTTCGCGTTTCTTTGTGGTCGATGAAAGCTACCAAGGACGGTTGCTATACTAGGTTAGTTCCAAGCATGCAGTATCACTCTGCGGGGATCGCAACTGACAGGCAGGCAGACAGACAGACACAGACTGCCTTCTAAAATGGGGTCTGCTCCTGCCGCCGGCAGCAGAAGGCATGCTGTGTGAGTCTGTCCTTCTTCGCATTGGTGTATGAAAGCAATGGAGGGTTACTATACTAGGTGAGAGTTCCAAGCGTGCAGTAGTACTCTGCAGAAAGTGAAACAGACCGGCAGACAGACAGACAGACACAGACTGTCTTGTGAAATGGGTCTCTGCTTAGTCTGCTCCTGCAGCTGGCAGCGAAAGGCATGCTGTTCCGTGTCTGACGAACATCAGATCATGTGTCAGTTGTACTGTGATCAATATCTGGAGGCAGACTTCTTTTGTGTTTATGTAGAGAAATACTTGGTCCTCCGTACGGTTTGCTTTGGGAAGGCTGCAAAAGCGCACTCGTGTTGTAATGGCCTTCGTCCCATCTACGTCGTCCCATCGGCTTTCATCAAAATGTAGCATTGACGGCTCAGGCAACTTTAGCGAGGTGTGGGAAGGGTGTGAATTTGAGAGAGAGAGAGAGAGAGAGGGAGAGGCAGATGCTAATGTTCCAATATGTTGGCGGGCATTTAGTAACCGTTAGTAGAAAAGGGTTTTGTGATTTTGTGTACATTTTACGGAATGTGACGATCACTTCTGATCATCCAGCCAGGGCAAGCGACAGAATGGAAGAGGAAGGGCGACCCCGATGGGTGGTGGGTCCAAATGCCCCAAGCCTGATGCTCTGCATACTGGGGGAGCCTGCAGAGTGGGGACGTACATGAAATTACGAAGGAGGGATTGGAAGAGTGGAAAGGTGGAATGATGCCAGCCTTTGCGGGCAAGTGCGATATAGCCTTCACATGCAATTCAGCTGCATGGCAGGGGTGCGTATAGTGGAATGATTGCCGCTGAAGTGTTTGGGGCTCTTTTTTTCCTATCCAGGGGGGTGTAATTGCTCCAGCTGGGTCGTGGGGGGTGACCTCCAGAGGGGGKGGGGGGAAGGGGAGAGGGGAAGGAGGAGCATGCACTTGTGCGGCACCGTGTTTCTGCAGCTGGAAACCGTGGAATGGGCACTTTGTCCGCAGCCAGCTTCACAAGCGCAGCGTTGCTGTTAACCTGGGAACTATTAACATGGAATTCTGCAGCCGGAGGCTTGGTCACAGTGCTTTGCAAGGTCTGCTTTGCTGTTATATCGGACCCGCGGAGTGTGGAATTTTGCTGGAAGAGTGGCGGGGACACGATCACCAGGCCGGTGGCGCCGGAGATGTGTTGTGTCACTTGTGTGTCACACGGTTGGTCATCGAAGATGCTACTGTGCTGTGCAAGAATCATTGAAGACAGGGGAAGCGCAGATGCCGTGACGCTCTCAAGTAATTTTGTCACATCATGGAAAAGCTGCGAGGTGAATTGTAGCAACAACTTTGTACGCGTTTCATAGCTCTTTCTGTCATTCAGCACAAAAACTCGTCTCCCCTGCTAGGCATAGGTTGAAGGTTCAAGTCCTGTGAGCCCCTGCAGCTGTTTGTAGAGGTGTAGGGTGGCATACCTACTCGTGACAACCTCGCCGTGAACGTGGATCAAGTAATGGAGGGGGGCGGGGCGGGGAGAGGAGGAAGGGGTGGTTGGAAGGAGGGAAGGGGGAGGAATTATGGGAACGCCGGAACGATCAGGAGTTGCTGCCAACCGCATTGCAGAGCGCCGATGGACTGAAATTGCATACCTCCATCCTCTTGTTTCTGTTGTATATCCTCATCTCCTTAAAACCACCAGTACCTACCGCATTTATCGTACCCCCGGGCCTCAAATGAATGTGGACCGAAGGGGCAGGCCGATTCGGCTTCCACGTTAACGGCCGCCCCAACCGGTAGGTACTGGTGGTTTAGACGACCACTACCTCCAGACGTGACCTGTCAGGCCTGACGAGGCTAGTCACCGTACCAGATTGTGGCGGACCAGCAGCGGAAAATCCGGGCGCATCGTAATCGCCACTTTGGGAAAAGCGCCCTGCTCCGAGGTAGTGGTGGTTTAAATTCCAAGACCACACAGGCCAGCATCTACTGGGGAGGCTGTCGATGGACGTTGTTCACCATCAGGAGTAACTTTCCCAATGGCGCCGATCGGCTTTTTTTTTGTCGGCAATATTAACAAGCTCCTCCAAAGGTCACCAGTGCATATGCTGCCTACATTGTTAGCAACAAGGTCACCCATGTGGGAACTGCTGACATTTATCGGCTATGTTAGCATTGTCGTCTCGCGATGCCGGCAATGAACGCCGGCGATGTGACGATCATACAATTGGTGTTGTTTCAGCTATATACGTTGCAATGTCGGCGTCGGGGTGCCGATGCAAGCGCGGCACCGCGCTCTGGTGTTTCCCGAGGTAGCGACGCCTTGATTGCGGAGGTTAAATGCAGCAGCTTCTTGGTGCACACCTCTGTCCCCGTCTATCCTCTCCTACCACTCCCTCTCCTCTTGCCGTCCACCCCCCCCCCCCCCCCCCCCCCCCCCCCCCCCCATCTCCTACGATTGCAGCCCGTCCTGCCGTGACGTGCTTCACCCTTTGTCAGCCCCCCCTTCTCCACTCAACCTTTCCAGCAAACACCCATCTGATACCTTGTGCTGGTCACACTTGTCCCCTTTGTGAATCGTCTCACGGTCTTGGCGTTTCTTTCCCTCGGCTCAGCTGGCTGGGGCTTGGGGGTGTCCTCGATCTCCCCTCTTTTTTGTTGCTCATTTGATTGTGCAAGCCTATGTGCAGTGGGGAAGAGGTTTTTATGTTGACGTCTCAAGTGGGGTTGAGATTGATGTATCCCATCTGATGTGGATAAGGCTGTTTTGTCTTATCCGATAAGGTTAAGGCTCTTGCCTTAAGCCTCTTACCTTATGTAAGTATGCTTTGATAATTTGAACCCTCAGCACCCCCTCCCCCTCCTCCCCCCCCCCCCCCCCCCCCTCCCTCCCTTCTTTCAGCACTGTCCATCTATCTCCCTGTTGCTGCTGCTTTTGGGGAGGGTGAAGGGTGTAATTCTAACGTTTTTTTTTTTTGTTTTTTTTTTTTTTTCCCCTCCTCTTCGAACACTTCGCACTAATTTCAAGCACCTTGCGCTTCTCTCGCCTGGAAGCTCCCATGGGCTTGCACGGGCGTGGATTAGTTTGGTTTCATCTTTGCTGCCCCGTTGTTGCGCTGTGGACTTTCTGTTTTTTTTTTTGTTTTTTTTGTTTTTTTTTTCTGTTTTCTTTTTTGTTCCCCCGCCGCCTTTTTTCTCCCGTCTGTTTTCTGTTATTGAGTGAAGATGTTGCTATCAGTTGGTTTTTTTTTTTTTTTTGGAATATCAGTTTTGCAACTGTTGTGGATTCTTCCCTTCCTCCCCTTTTGAGATGAAAGCAAGGCCAGGGCATGATTTTTTTAATTTTTTAAACGCCGGGGCACTGATTATGTTCGCCGGGGTAGGATGACGCTGGCAATAGGGTACTCTGTTTCAAAAGCGGGTGTTTCCTGAAAAGGAATGTTGCCCCCAACCGCTCCAAAATATTCCATGTATAACGACAGCCTTCTATTCTAGAAGGTTCTTTTTTTTTTTATATAACTTTTTTCCGTTCTTTTCCCGGTTTTTTTCTTTCCCTTCAGAAAATGGATTTCCTGTCGTTGTGTCCTTCTTCAACCCAGGAGTGTCTTTCTTTCTTTTCCTTTTTTTTTTTTTTTTGCTTTTTTTTTTTTTTTTTTTTTTTTTTTTTTTTTTTTTTTTCTTTTTTTTCCTCTCTATCCTTTGTAGCAGTGACCATTTTCCCTTTTTTTTTTTTTTTTTTTTTTTTTGACCAAATGCATTCATTGTGCTATCAGTCCATGTCACCAGTTTGTGTGGGATCGGCGAGGACGCAGGTCGCCGCCGGTCCTTCCTTGTGTAGAATGCGGCCGATCCCTTGTTATTGCCGCTTGACCGTGTCTCATAAATTTTTTCAGGAAGAGGCTCATCTCATTCATTGCTAGATCCTCCAGCGAACAACCCAAGATAAATAAAATCATCCAATATCCGTTTCTCTAAATTCTCCTCCTTCACC